ATAATGGGCACTAATTCTAGAAGTTCAAAAATGTTTTAAAGGTTCACTATTCAGGGTGGGGACATACTGAGGTCAGGTTATTAATGGAGTTTTAGCTTAGGTTCATCTCACAGTGTGTCTGGTTGGTCCCCCAACCCATCCTGTAGTAAATTCCCCAGTTCCATAATGCATAATTACAATAAGTATACTGAGCAACTTCCATGTTGGACTAAAATGTGAAATAAGGACTATCATGGTACGAACAGCAGGTAGAAACTATTAGAACTGCCTTTTCCTAGGAAAACAGTTAGCCAAAGGCACATAGATTCATGGAGGGATTGCCGAGATTAGTGCCACCATCAAGGTCTGGAAGGATGCAGGAGTAGTAATTCCTATCACAACCCTGTTTAACTCACCTCTTTAACCTGTGTAAACACCAGATGAGTCTGGAGAATGAAAGGGATTCTACTAAACATGAATAGGTGGAAACTCCAGGAGCAACTGCTATTTCAGATGTGGTTTCATTGCTGGAGCAAACGAACCCTCCTGCAGCTAGTGATTGGGCCAATGCTTTTTTCTCAATTCTGGTTTCAAAGGACCAACAGAAGTAGTTTGCCTTCAGCTGCCAAGGGCAACAATAGACTTTCAAAATCTTCCCTGAAGGTTATATCAAGCCCCAGTACTACACCGTAATTCACTTCACAGAAACCTTGATCACCTTTCCTTTCACAAAATGTCACACTGGTCCAGAATGATGACATTGTGCTGATGGGACCTGGTAAGGAAAAGTATCAAAGGTTCTGGGCATATTGGTAAAACATTTGTATGCTAGAAGGTAGGAAATTAATGCAACAAAAATTTGATACCTTCCACATCTGAAATTTCTAAGGGTCCACTGGTGTGGGGCATGTCAAGACCTTCCTACCAAAGTGAAGGCTAAGTTATTGCGTTTGGTCCCACCTACAACTAAAAAGGAGGCACAACACTTAGTGGGTCTCTTTAGGTTTTGGAGGTACACTTGGGGGTGCTACTCCATCCAATTTATCAGGTGACTCGAAAAGCTGCTAATTTCAAGTGGGGCCTAGAAAAAGGGAAGGCTCTGCCATGCAAACCCCTCTGCCACTTGGACCATGTGATCCAGCTGATGCAACGGTGCTTAAGGTGTCCGTGGCAGAAAGAGATGCAGTTTTCTTCTTTGGCATACCCCTCTTGGTGAATCACAGCATAGGCTCTTAGGATTTTCCTCTGCAGACAATTCTCTTTTGAGGAATGGCTTTTGGCCTCCTACTGGGCCTTATTAGAGACTGAACAACTCACCCTGGAGCACCAAATCACCAAGTAGCCTGAGCTGCCCATGATGAAAGAAGTGGTGTCTTTCCCACAGAATGTTCTCCACCATTCTGAAGCAGCTGACTTAGTGGGACAATGGAATGACCTTCCAAAGAAACAATTACAGCACCAGCTAGGTTGGAATACCTTGAAAATGAGGCACTGCTCTCCAGGAGGCTGTAATTGTTCTGAACCAGCAGCCAGGATTCAAGGGTCCAGGAACCAAGGGTAGAAATGAAATTGGCATTTTTGCTTCCTGTTCTGGCAGCCCTATGCTCTTCAGGTCTGGTGGTCTTAGGTCCTAAGGAAGAAATACTCCCACCTGGTGGCACAGCATGGATTCTATGGAAATGTCAGTTAAAAAGGCCTCCTGGCAAATTTAGGCTCCTCCTGCCTCAGAATCAATCAGTAAAGAAGTGTGGGACAGTACTGAGTGGTGTGATTGATCCTGATTACCAAGGGGAAATTGGATTGGTGTTACACAATAGTGGTAAAGAAGAGTATATCTGAAATCCAAGAGATGTTTTAGGTCATCTCTTGGTACTAGCAGGTCCTGCTATTAAGGTAAAGGGCAAACTAAAGCAACCCAATTCTGACATGATTATTACTAGCCCAGACTCTTCAGGAATGAAGGTTTATGCCTGCCCCACAGGCAAAGAACCACAACCAGCTGAGGTGCCTGTTGAGAGCAAGAGGAATACAGAACAGGTGGTAGAAGAAAGGCATTCTAAATACAAGCTATGACCACGTGACCAGTTGCAGAAACGAATGAATATATCCTCTTTGTATGTAGGCATCAAGTATTTTTGTTTTCTTCACTTATAAAATATTTGATGTAAATGGGTTAGTGCATTTTCAGTTGTATAGATGCTAGTTTTATCATGTTAAACACAAGTATGACTTTACTATTGTCTTTGCTTGGAGATTATGTGTGGTTTAAAGAGATATAGACAGGTGCCAAATTGACAACAAGTAGACTGATAGGAGTGGGCTGATAGTCACTTGGTGTCAACTAGCCTTGATGATTGCAGTTTGACATTCAAGGGGTTCCTTCTGAGGTCTCCACATTTCTTAGCCCAGAATCACAGCCTGAGGTTGCCTCCTTCTGGGTGCTGTATCCTTGATCAGGCCATAAGTGAAGACCAGGGGGAGCCTCTCGCTCTCTCCTCTTCTTGCTGGTATGGAATCTACATTGGTCACCACCAGTTTTGCCTCACCTGCCACATCCTATTCCTCAGCAGCAGGTACCACAGTTTGCACCTGTCTGTGGCCTGCCATAGTTGCTGCCTGAGCCATTGCCACCAGCGCTGCCTTCACAGTTGCCACCATAACCTGGCCTTGCCCTTCTGTTTTCCCTCCTTGATTCCTCAGCCTGGCAGTCACATGCAATTGGAAGGGCCTATGGTCCACCATTTGACGTACCGAAGTGAACCAAACTGAGTAGACTTCCTGGGGCCCTGTGAGGCACAATCTTGATATAAATCCCTTTTCTGAGACAAACTTCTCTCTTTAGATACATAGATCACTGCTTTGACTTTGCTTCTTTAGAAAACCAGTCTAATTCCATTGGTAACAAAAACAAAAAAAAAAGGACTGGAAGTTAGAAACATGACCTTGGTGACAGAAATCACTCTGGAGATCACATGATAGGCATTTTTGAGACATTCATTGCAAGTATCTTTTTCAGCAATGTAAATGGTGCCTAGGTACCTAGACCTTACAGATGAAAAATACAGGAATGCTATAGACTAAATATGTAAAGAGAATATCATCAATGAGAACAAGACCAGAGATTGGCTATGGAACAAACCACCAATTGCACCTATACAAATTCAAGTTGAAAATGAAGAACATTAAAACAAGTCCACAAGAACCAAGGTACAAACTTGAATATATTTCAAGTGAATCTAGGAGACAATCTCAAGAATAAATCTGACACATAGAACAAATGTCACTTTCAGGATTAAGATGTGCCTGTCCCAAACCATGGTATTTTATTTGCCTCATATGTAATGAACAAGGAACACCAAGGGGGAACTGATACTATTGAATTATGGTGAAGAATAGTAAATATATCAAGGGTTGCCAGAGAATGACCCCACTTATTTTAGCATAAGTATGGCCAGAATGTGCTTCGAATCAAGGATGGCAACATTTTTCGGTCAACATTATAGACATGCCATCAGGAGGCATCTGTTACTGGAAAAATATATCATTTTTGGTAAAGTACTGGGTCAACAAAAAAGAGGACCCTCAGGGAGATGGACTGGTAAATATGAATGCCAACAATGGCTTAAAACATAGCAATGACTGAAGATGGTACAGAACCGGGCCTCATTTTGTTCTGTTGTGCATAGGGGCTATGAAATGAGTCAGTACCAAGAGTACCATCCAAGCTAGTTAATACCAATTCTACTGCACTTAACAACAATGTCTTAAAACGGTGCTTTTACACGAACTGATTACTTTCTAATGCAAATGAATTGGTATTTGATCACTTAAGTGAGTATGCTTGCAATTGGAAATTGCCATAAGTGATCTGGTAAATTTGGCAGGAAAAATGTTAAGAAAACCCAGGTTTAAAGTTAAACCCAGGCTAATCACAATGAGGCTGGCAAGCTTTATTTCTGCCAGAAATGTCTCTTGCAGTCTTTCTTGCAATCTTCTTTGAAGGTCTTTTGGCTCCACAAGGTTTAGAAATTCCATCTTTCCCCTTAAGTTGACCTAAATATCCCCAGTTTCTTCACGTTTAGAAACCAGGCCTCGGTTAAGTAGAAATGGAGAAGTGAGTATCCTGGCCTCCGCCTTGCCCTGGCACTGGTTTCCAGGCATACAAACCCACCATTCTTCCCTCTGTCCTCAGCTGTGTATCCTCCCGCCGACACACCCTTCCTCTTCGGTGAGCAGATCCATCTTCAGCCCTTCCGTGGCGGTTAGCAGTCCAGTAGAACTGTGTGTTCTCTTTCCTTCTCCTTTCCAATCCAGAGACTTTCTATTCCACGGTCAGAAATGCAGAAAGCAACGATGGACCGGACTGTTGTTGTGGTTTTGTGCTGTCGCGTTGATTTCAACTCCAAGCAACCAACGTAAGGGAAAGAAGACTATTGAGATCACTTCCCCTTCAATACTATGGCTGGTCAATTTTCCCAAAGAGCTAGAGTCTACCGCTGATTAGCTTTCATAGAAGTTGAATTGCATAAAAGACTGACTAGCGATTGCCTGGAAATAACACACATACACACTTAAGGATTGTTCATTCACAAAGCTGGGCTGACATATACTTTAGCATTAGATCTTGTAAAAAAATTTTTTTTATTAAAGTCTGAGGCCTACCAGTCTGCATAGTAATTAGCAAACCTGGGAACCAGGTATAGGCCATATTTAACTGGGAAGTGGGAAGATAAATCCAGCTTGTCTAAGGCACCAATCACAAGATAAACCCAGACAGACACATGACCAACAGGTTGTTTAGCTGGACTGTGAACAATTCTCTGATGATAGCATCACCCCATTAAACAGATAAGAACACTGACACTCCTAGAGTAGGTTACCTGCCCAGATAACGAGTAAAAAGGCGACAGTACCAGGACTCAGATCTATGTCTGTCTCTCTGTCCATTAAAGCACGTGCACACTTTTAAGGGACTCACGATCCTCGCATCAACCTGGGCATCACCACCAGTAACTACTTACTGTATGTGCTTTCCCTTATGGGGAAGTCCTTGAGTGGGGCGCCAAATTCACAGGGCAAGCGAAGGGAGAGTACTTTTTTCTGCATCTTAGTAGATTTACGAACCAGGAAGATCTAGTGGAAAGAAAAGAAATTCCATCTTAGCAAGCACTTAGACTGCTGGAACCTGAGCATATGGTTTCCTTCACGTGTGACTTTCATGAATAGAACCCTTCTTCATAACCAAATTGCATAAGTGAACATGGGGCCTTTGAATGCCAGAGAAAAAGGGCATTTAGAGGCCACTCTACAGATTTCTTTCTTTGATAAATGGCTCCTAAATAAACCTACTTTCCCTGAGCTTCTCCAGGAAGCTAAGAACTTTCTGAATATGCATAAGCATCTTTAATTTCTTTACAGTTTTTTCATACCTGCTATATTCTCCAGCATGGTTATTAATACAGACCTCAATTATGAAAAGCAGTAACACGCTAAACCAGAGGTGATGAGTTAGAATTCGCTGGCTAATTTGGCTCATGTGTAACATCAGAATTTGAATCTGTTACCAAAAATAAAAAAGTGGGCAACTCTCCCCGTACCCCCCATTTAAATCCAGATTTTTAACTTCTCTTGAAAAATATGATCATCTGGCTGAACAAAGCCTTCACGCCTAGAGGGCAACAACGAGGCAGAGCTGAAGCAGACTGCTCTACTCCAAGGCCGCCCTCATCTGCACTTACCTCACTTTCTGATCATCCTTTCTAAGCCCGAGTGCCGTCTTCAGACATGCAATCTTAAACCAGTCCAAACCCTGCACTGGTCAAGGAACCCGCTCTGACTTTCTTCCCTGCAGCAGTTGCTCCAGGGTACATTATTCACACAAACAACTCCATTGGCACGCCCTGGGCTATGCAGTGTAGCAGCCGCCAGGTCTGCTTTCCTTCTGTGATCCCTGACTCTTCTCCAAGGATCCTGCCCTGTTTTGTTTTCCGCTTCCTTTGCACTTAAACAACTCCCTCCCATTTCATTTTGTCGACTTAATTTTCACTCCTCTCTGTACATCCATTTAATAGTTCCGAACCAGTCGCCGTAGAATTGATTCCAACTCCTGGCAACGCTGTGTGGTCAGGGTAAAAGTGCTCCACAGGAGTTTTGAAGTTTAATTTTTCAGAAGTAGATCTCCAGACTCTTCTTTCAAGGTGCCTCTGGGTGAATGGAAACCGCTGCACCATCTTGGCGCCCCAATCGTCCCCAAGATACTTTTTCTTTGGTGGTAGGGGGTTATGGGGCTTGGGAATGTCACCAGGAAGAATGGAAGACTTCTGACTTGTCTCTTATTTCCCAGCACCTACAGGGCTGTGTCCACGGAATTCCTTCAGTAAGTAGCCAGGTCTAGGAGTCTGCATGTCTGGAACACCTTAAAGCGGAAGCAGCTGTTTCTTCGATAGAGCAGGGAAGTACCCAAAGCACTGGGGGAGGTGGAGAGAAAACAGGGTCTCTTGCACAGGTGGGATGCTCCTTGAGCCTGGAGGGCCAGGGCAGAGTCCAACTTTTGAGCTTTCCTGGATGTCTGCAGCCTTATCATCTTAGATCATGGGTTGGTAGGCTACGATTCACAGACTAAATCCATCCTAGTTTTTTTTGTTGCAATTAAAGTTTTATTGAGACACAATCATGCTCATTTATATCCAAGTGGTCTATGTCAACTTTGACAATGCAATGGCGGAGTTGAGTAGTTCTGACAGAGACAGGAAGCTGCAAAGCCCAATTTCGTCTTGGAAACCTATGGGTCAGTTTTACTCTCCTATGGGGTCCCTATGGGTCAGAACTGACTCAATGATAGTGGGTTTGGTTGGTCTGGGCCTTAAAGAGGACAGATTTGTGGACTTCTGATTTATGCCATAGATAATTAAGGGTGAAGGTGTCCTAAATGTTCATTTTAGTCACTGTGCCAGGGTCAGTCCTTCAAACCCTCTTCACACACTTCCAGCACTTAGGGCTCCTCCCTGTCATTCTCACTTCTCCTTTCTACCCTGGCCTCTCCTGACCCTGCACGCTCTTTCCCTCCCTCTGCCCTCGGCCTGCCCATATCATGAGGTGAGCGCTGTCAAAGGTCAGGCAGGGGGACCAAGCGTCCTGGTGCCACACAGATCTCCGTAGGAATGGACCTGACCTACCTTGGAAGGAACTGGGTCAGGGAAAAGAGTGCGGTCGAGGAACATGAACATCTCCCTCTGCGGAATTTCCCCCCCAGAAATGCAAGAGTAAAGAGCTGGACTGGCAGCAAATGAGGGCTTCACAAAGGACCCTAATCACAGACTGAAACTAGAGACCAAGCCACTTATGGCAGAGACGGTCACCCAGTCACCCTGAGCATGTTCCAACGAGGGCTTCGTTCTTTCGGCTTCCATCAGACAAGAAATTCTTTAAGAGGAGACTTATCACTGAGCTCATGTTAATGGTAGAGGAATAATATATTTTTAAAAGATAGCAACAGAGGTTGTACAACATAAAAGATGGAATCAAGCTCACTGAAGTACACAGGTAGAAATTATTAAATTAGTCAAGGTTTCGCTGTATATATTTTAACCAAAATTAATAAAGAAAGAGAGCCAGAGAGAATAGTTTCTAATTCAAAATGTGATAAGAGACTCTGGCTACTAAGAAACTCAAAAGTTTATTTTTGTGCCCAACTGTTGCAACATTCCTCAAAAGTTTATTTTTATGCCCAATTGTTACAACGGCCCTCAGCTATTCACGGATAGAAATTTCTCTTTGTTTTCTATTTATCTCTTAGTTTCTATCTTCATCATGTGTTATTACAAGTCTGATTTTAATTGGGACTTACTTTGCTTATCATTTTTTGAAAGTAGGCATGGTGAATAAGGAGCAATAGAATTTTCTGTGATGGTGGAAATGTTCTCTATTTTTGTGTCATTTAATACAGTAGACACCAAACACATGTGGCTACTGAGCACGGAAAAAGTAGTTAGTATGACTGAGGAACTAATTTTTTTTTATTTTACTTAATTTAAACCTAAATAGCCACACTTATTAATTTAAATTTAAGTATGGTAGCAGTTTGAACTGCTCAAGCTATATGAATCATTAAATAAAAATTGCTTAAGGGACTTCTCTTAATCATGGATAAGTCAATGGTCTTGGGGAGACAGTAGCTGAAGAAACTGGTCCGGACTTTGGCCCAAGTGAAAGGCATGGGGGAAAGGAGCACAGGGCAAAACAGAGAAGGCAGGTCTGTGGACACAGAACTTTTAAAGAATTGAATTCCACTTTGGATGGCTGGGTCCAGGCAAACTTTCCCAGACTCAGAATGAAATGGAAACTGGCAGAGAAGCTGAGGACCTCTGGTCCAAGCTTATCCTTAGTGGAAGTGTTAAGAGGTCAGCACAGGACCTTGGGCCCGCAAACCGTCTTCCAATCAAAATGCTCTGTCTTTATTCCCTGAATATATCATCGTTCTGCTAAGTCCTGGAGCTTCCGAGGAGACGAGGCTAGAAAGACAAGTGTGAAGGGGTCTCTTCATGGAAGGGGCCTCTGAAGTTTCCAGAAGTTTTCTGTATTGTAAGCCAGCTACAAACCAAGAATTATGCTCCCTACAGGCGAGGTAAAATGTTGTGGAACTCCTGCCCCAGCCTCTTCCCCTGAGTCTTACCCCAGGTGGCTGCGATTGCAGGATTTGTGCCGCCCCCTCCTCACTCAGACTCAGCTGCAGCCATATGGGGTGAGTGTGGAGAAGTTGGTCCAAAATGCTGAGTCGGTTGGAGAGGCTGTCATAACCAGAGTCCCGGGGATAGGCCTTTGTGTCTTTCTCCTCAGAGTAGCCATCACCTTTGTGTCTTACCATGCTAAAAGAAACAGAATTGGGTTAGGTTCAAACAACCGCAATACAAATTTCCACAGCAAGAAGTCTGTCCCTGTAGTCTTGTAGACTAGACCCACCATAGTACATAAACCATATTGTGATTACTGCCTTATATGTCTTTTCCTCCAGACTGAAAACGTTCTGAGGGCAGATATGATATTTTATTATATCTGTGTCCCTAATACTAAGTACTTTGTAAATAACAGATTTGACCTTTTATTTCTAAACCTGCTTCAATGATTCTAAACATCATAAATGACTTTTAGCTAAATCTTTGTCTTGGCAGAAACATTTCTTACATTGAGGAAAGAATTCTAAAGCCTAAACTCTATAATTAGTAACCTAATGAGGTTTTAATGCACAATAAATAGTATGTATCGTAAGTGTGACCATGGCCTGCTCTATAAGCATGAAAGGCAAAACACTACATACTCACATTCACTCTGTTATCCAAATGTATTAGATTTCATATTTTCTCACACATCTAAGCCTTTCATTAGTATTACTAGTATCATGTATAATAAAACCTGTTAATGACATGGGCTAAGCTATTGATTGATATTTTTCATCATAGGTGAACATTTGAATTTAAGCAAACCAAGTAGCCATCACTTAATGAATGAGTAAATACAATGTGGTATATCCATATCATAAATATCACTCATGCATAAAAAAGGAATGAAGTACATGCTACAACATGGATGAATGTTGGAAGCACTCTACTTTTGAAAGAAACATTTACTTACGAGAGAAGTCAGACATAGAAGAGCCTGTATTATATCATCCGCCTTATGGGAAATGTTCAGAATAGGCAAACTCATAGTGACAGAAAGTCGATTAGTGGTTCCCCAGGGCTGGCATTGTAGTGAGTAAAGACAGTTTAATGCTTTCTTTATGGGACGATATAAATATTGTGGAATTAGACAGTGATGATAGTTGTGCAACTTTGAATATACTAAAACCACTGAGTTGTACACTTTAAAAGGGTAAAGTGTATGGTATGTAAATTACGCCTCAATTTAGAAATTCACATTGACCACCTTTCTCACATTCAGTATCAACATTAACTCTGTAAAAAACCAGCCCAAACTAGTTGCCATGCATCGATTCCAACTCATGGCAACCCCACCTGCATCAGAACAGAATCCGCTCCAATGGTCTTCAATGCTGACCTCTTAGAAGTAGGTCACCAGGCCTTTCGTCAAGAACTCCTCTGCCATTGGCATGACCCAAAGGGTATTGAACCCTCAATTTGCACAGGAGGAAACTGTGGCCCCAGCAGTTGTGGAGCTGTTCAGACTTTACACACCAACTTTGGTGGTAACAAGAACAAACATAACTATAGGAGAGTTCCTATGGGTGTCTGCTGGATGCCGGGCCCGTTGCAAACATTCTCTCATGTACTTCTCACAATGGTTCTGAAACTCAGCACTGGTTTTTAAGACACACACCTTCTGGCTAGGCCTTGTAGGTATCTTATTCTTGGTCGCACTTCCAGCATCAATGAAAGGGCTGCTATTCCAATACAAGGTCATTGCATGCCTAGGGTTCTTTCCCTCCCCTGCACACAGATTGCACCCCTCTGCCTGTATCTCACCAAGCAGGTCACAGCACCTGCCCTGGAACAGTGAGAGAGAAGAGTTCCAACTGATCAGCTCCAAGAAACCAAAGTGTGAGGTCAAGATCAAGTCACCAACACTGAGAAGGGTGGCGATAAAATCAACTATAAGGCGAAAGTAGGGCAATTTTAAAAGGGAAATATGATGTGCTTTTCCCATGGGGACAACTCTATCATAAAAGGTAAGATTATATCCACCAAAGGTACAGTGTACGGGACCACTGTTGGGTGTCCCTGCTCAATGGCAATCTCCTGGCTAGAGACCCAGGATAACTTCACATCTCACTTTCTGGACTTTCTACAGAGCTGAAGAATCTCATGCTTTCATTCAAGATGTATATATTGTTTCTTCTCAAATATGTGGGTTTTCCTTTCCATCTTCTGCAAGTTTCCTGATGGGAAAAAAAATCTGTGACACAAAAAGGCCATTTTTCTTCAACAAGAGCCATTATACTGCCAATGAGTATTTAAAATTAATATTTGTAGCTCTAAGAACAAACTCTAAAATAAATCTGGTGCACGTACATACAGGGTGAACAGAGAGGGTAGTCCTCTACATGTATTTGAGTGGACTGCACATATCTCTAGGATTATAGTATTGCTGTTGCTAGGTGCTGTAGAGGCGGTTCCAGCTGATAGTGATCCTATGCACAACAGAACAAACAAAACATTATCCGCTCCTGCTCCGTGCTCACAATGGCTTTCATGTTTGAGCCTCTGAAAACGTCTCAGTTAGAACCAAACACCTTGAGGGAATGAGTCACTGGCTTGGAGAGTTAGGACTATAGGCTCTTGGGACGTATCAAGGTCAGTTGGTATAACATAGTCCACAAGGCAACACTCTGTGTCCTCCCTTGGTAAATAGCACCAGGGATCTTTCCAGCCTGTGAGAGGCCCTCTGACTACGACTGACCCCATCCTCATCTAGACAAAAGAAGAGTGAAGAAAATAAGAGAATTAGGAAACAACTAGATGGTGTTTGGCTACTATTACCAACTACTCCGACCAGCATCAGAATAGGAAGTCTTGGGCAGAGAGGTATAAAAATAATGTAGAACACATTTCAAAAGCATCAAAAAGACCAGACTTACTGGTCTAAGAGAGAATGATGAAACCCTGGATGGAGACAGTGGCCCATGAACGATCTTTAAGTGTGGAAGTGAACCCACCCACAGGGAACAACTTTTAGCCCAATCACAGACAGCAGTGGGATGAGTAAAAGATAGCACAAGGTTAGAACACACTCCGTCGGTGCAATTAAACACATACGAACAGAAGAACGGCATTTGCCCCAGAACTAAGTTTAGAAAGCAGTTGCAGCGGGTCTCTACCTGGGGGTCGCGACCCCTTTGGGGTCGAATGACCCTTTCACAGGGGTCGCTCGATTCCTAACAGTAGCAAAATGACAGTTATGAAGTAGCAATGAAAATAATTTTATGGTTGGGGGGAGTCCCCACCACATGAGGGACTATACGACATGGTCGCGGCCTGAGGAAGGTTGGGAACCACTGAGTTAAGAGTCAAAAAGAAGGACAAATAGAAACAGGGAACCCGAAGAGGAAGTGGTCAGAGTGCTGTTACATTGATGGGATTCCAACCAATGCCAAAAACGATACGTGCATAAATTGTTGATGGAAAACTATTTTGCTTCATAAACTTTCACCCAAACTACAACAAAAAGTTGACTTTAAAAAAAATGAAGCTGATGTTAAAATTCCTTTCATGTAAGCCCATCATTCATCTGTCAGTTTCTTGGGTTTGGCTTACCTGAGCTATGATGCTGGAAGGTATCCTACCCATTTTTCAAATACCAGCTGGCTCAGCCCATGGTAGATGGGTTTCAGTGAATCTCCCAGGCCAAGAGAGATGAGGAAGAAGGACATGCCAATCTTTTTTTTTTTTTTTTTTAATGTCAGGTTAAAACCTTTGAATAGCAGTGGAACCTTGTCTAATACACTGCTGGAAGATGAGCCCCTCAACTTGCAGGCAAGTCGGTCAAGACGCAACATCAGGGTCAACAGAGGAAAGATGAAGGAAATCCAGAATTTCCCTTTCCTTAGCTCCACGTTCAACACCCATGGAAGCGGAAATTATGAAATATAATGATGTATTCTTGCATTGAGCAGCTGCAAAACAGCTTTTTCAAAAGAATGTCATTTTGTGCCCGACTCATGACAAAGTACTTCCAATTGATTCATATATGTGTGAATGCTACTTAATAAATAAAGAAGACTGAAGAAAAATTGATGCCTTTGAATTACGGTGCTGGTAAAAAATATTAACTGTATGTTGTAGACTCTGTCTTGGATGAAGTCCAGTCAGAATGCTCCGTAGAAGTGAGGAGAGTCCGCAGGCCTGTCTGGATCGGACAGGCTGGATGAACAATCTGGAGGAGAAAACAACGGGACTGACAGTTCTGGGGGGACATGAAAGAGGGGGATGAGGGGGTTAGGGAAGAGGGGATAACAAACCCAGGGACAAGGGAACAACAAGCGATCCAAATTGGTGGGGAGGTGGGTGTGGGAGACCTGGTAGGGCAGGATCAAGG